AAACAAGCCCTTCCTGCGCTGAATAGTCTCCTCCCAAGCTTCTATCACTTCTGCGAGGATCCTGGGTCCAAGCTTTGGATTTTCATGTATCGCTCCGAGCCACAGTGCGACACCCACGTTCATCGACTCCTCTGAGAACAGTTGAAACGGCAAAATGACCAGGTGGTGAAGAACTGAGGGTTGAAAGTAGTCTGAGCCACACAAAACAGCAGCAGCTCTTCGCAGCGTATCCCTGAATTCAGATATGGCCACACTATTTCCCGCTTTGAGCTGATCGTGGAGACGGTGCAGCCTATTCTTGACATGCTCGCTGGATTTCGGGAGGCTTAGTGAGATCTTTCCACAGACTTTGCCTATATATCTCCAGGTCAATTGCAGAACGTGGCAGAACACGGCGGACACAAACCATTGCTCTCTTCGGACCCCTGTTCCAAATATTTCGTCACGACTGGGTCCGGGGCCCGGTACTGCTGGCGGATGGTGTATTGCGCAATAAAGTCAGAAGCAACGTTTACCCTGCTAATCCCGGAGCTCTGAATACATCCTAGAAACCGGTTAGGACATTTCGGCGAGTGCAGAAACAAGAGCTTACCGAGTCGCTGATCGCTTCGGGGAATTGTGGAGCCCATATCGAGAGCGAATGAACGACCCAGCGAGATGTGGCTGCCGTCAACTGTGTCGTTGGAAATGGACAGGTATGTCTGCCTTCTGGTCAGCAATCAATCCTAAAAGCCTTCCTAAAGGTACTCGCCTGGAGAAGGCCTTTCACATCCAGAGGTGCAATATCTATAACTGCTGCTACCCAAGCTTTAGCTCGCTCGAGGAGTGTATTCAGAGTTCTCTTCCTGGCATTGTAGTTGTCGGCGAGATCAACCTTCACAATTCCCATTGGTGATGCACAGGAAGCCTTCCACTCGAATTCATCAAGCTCCTCCTCAAGACACGACAGCCACATTACAGTCAGCAATTCAAGAAGAGCGAATAGGGAATGTTTATCACAGAGAGCTGATGGGCATTCTCTAATGATCTTATCGGCGCACAACATGGCGACGCTCTGCACTCGTTCTATACGGTGACAGCAAGCCATGAAGAATTGAGCCAATTCCTTTGACAAGTATGGAACAGAGAAATTCTCATCGTTCGCAGATAGGGTCAGGGACAGGTAGTCGGCGACAGCTTTATCTGCAATGGAGCTCATGCAACTGGCCATGTCAGCTGTAGTCAAGGCTGGGTCGCGGAAGTAACTGAGAACTTTGGTGCAATTTCCCGACGACGCACGGAGGCTCTCGACCAACAAAGAAGCGTTGAGGAAGACCACTTTTGGATAATTCAGATGTTTGATCCCAGGTTCGCAGTCAGGTAGCTCGGCCATGAGAATTCTCTTGAGCTCTACCAACCGTTGGGGGCTCATTCCGCGTCTGAGGATTGTGTTCAGCTCTACGTCACTCTCGAGCATCTCTATGCGACTCTCGGCAATCAGGGGCGGAGAGTGCTTTGCGAGCAAGCGTAATTCTCGAATATGACTTCGAGTAACAGCTGACTGAGTCGAGATCCCATGAACAGAGATATTAAACCAAGCATCACGAAACAGGGCAGTGATGTCTTCGTCAAAAATTGCATCTGTCTGTTGTGTCCCAGCTCCCTCTTCGTCTGATGAAATGAGGAGAGCCAGAGGTCTGAGGAGAAAACTGATGGCCTCTGGTGCTAGAATAACCTCCTTTTGCCGCTCACTTTCGCTTACTGCATCGCCTTTATTCACAATACATTCCAAGAGATGAACCAAATAGACCCGAAAAAGCGGGGAATCCCTTCTCAGCGCGAGAGATATGTATGTCATTGCGCCCTTGACTGCATTTGTGACATCACTAAAATTCCGGGCAATACTGTCTTGATAAGCACGGTCATAGAACTTGAGCAGGAGTTGAAACTCTGCTTGTCCTGTGCTCAAGGAGAGGGAGGCAGTTTCTCTAATGATGAGAGCATCCACTGCAATGTTGACTTTGCCGATCTTTTGCAAAAGCATTGACTGAGCTAGCGCACTAATTTTCTCATCATTAGAGCTGGTTGCAATTGTCACAATAGCACGGAGAATGTTCCTGCAGGTTGCATTATCGTGGTCACCAATGGCTGAAATGGAGACCGTACTACCATTACCAATTGGTGGTGGTACGGAAGAAACACTGTCGGGTTGCCCAGCATTCTCATTCAAGAGCTGACCATGATAATACTTGTCAGTGCCTGAGCCGGGGCTCAAAGCGTTCCCGAGCGAGTAGAGAGTTGTTATGACGGCATCTTGAGACAGAATGCCAAGTACTTGAGCCAGACACTTTCCAGCAACAGACCCAGTATATTCTCCTAGCACGCACCCTTCAATAATGAATCTCAGAAGAGACCGGCTTCCAGAGGATGCACTGGCCAGAGACATCCTTGAGACGATAGCTATGCTTTTCAGAGTGGCCGTTGCAAGCTCAAGACTTGCCATCTGATTGGGGTCTGCCAGTGTGTCCTCCAACCAAGACAGAAAGGCTCCACTGTTGGCAGCATTTCCACTCAAAATGACGCAGTTCAGGTATCCAATAAGAGCAAACGCTTTCACAGAAAAGGTGAGCTGTTTTTGCCAGGGTGAGCCCAGTTGAAGATAATCGGAACCATCCTCAAGGAGTTGGATTTCGTCAGCAATTATCTCTGTTATACGATCAATGAGGGTGATTTCAGCGCCATCGCTACTCCTGGCAATTCCAACACCATTCATGTAGTCGTCGAGAAGCTCTTCATCAGACAAATTTTGAGCTCCCACAAGGGAAGTAGCGCATGATTTGACGAAACGCATGAACCCTTGTTGCAGAAGCATAGCGCCTAGAGGACGTCTGTTCGCAGCATATTGTCGGGTGTACCTTCTCCAGTCCCTCAACGTAGGATCAGCCATGCTCGCATTGCGCACAGTGGACGAGGCGGTCTCAATTGCAACCATGAAGCTTTCAGACAACATGGATCGTACGTGCTCGACAATTTGCAGTTTTTCGCTGGCGGACCAAAGTGAAGGAAACTGTGCGGATGCTTCTAAAAATCCAACAAGAGAAACGGCGAGTGACAGTATGCGCTTGTGCTCTTGAACAGCCCCGTATTTGTCGCCTGCAGAATCGTAGCGCTGAAGAGGCGTAATGGCATCAATAGCATCCGCACAGCTATACAAGTACTCGTGGACAGCGCTGAGAGTGGTCGAGCGTAACGGAGGAAAATTGGAGCCCAGTGAGAGCAGTGACGATGTCAGTTGATGAGTGAGCGTCTCCCAAGGTGAAGGCTTCATGTCATACAGGAAAGGGGACGGGCGAAAGCACTGGCTATGAGACTCGGGTAGGTAGGGGAACAGTTGTGACACCAATTTCGAAGCGTGATCAATTTTGGTAACCGAAGGCGCAGCATCGCATAAAGCGAGAAGTACATCCAATTCTCTAGAGTCCTTCATAAATCAGTTCTGAATTGCTTGTGTTCAGTCACGAACAAATTCAAATCGCATACCATCGGCAACTGGGAGGTCGTTCTCTTCTTGTTTCCGACACCATCTGGCGAGACGTTCGAACGACTCGAAGGATGCGGACATCGTTGAGAGAGCTGCGTGAGGTCCGACAGGTCATCGCAGTCTACTTCTGTGACGGATAAAGTTGCAAGTTTGTCCAAGGCACGGCGTCTGATGTTTGTGAAGAAGCTGGTGTAAGGTCAGTGTCGCTGATCTTCAAGTCGAAAGTGGTCTATATTTCTTACCAGTCCATTGTGAGAGGTTGCCTTGACTTGGGTGTCTACTCTCTGGGAAACAGATGTCATCTAATTTCAGAGGAGCGAAAGTTTGGTGTGCAGCAGCGGTTCTTACTTTCGACAGTTGTTAACAGTCAAATGGCTACCTAGGTAGGTACCTGACATGTAGCTCCAGGGGAACGATAGGGGAGTTCGATACTGGGCCTACGTTAGGTACTCCGTACCTTATCTTCGTAAAGTCGTTATCCCATGCGGAGACACATATACGTAATTACTGTGTACCTTACATTCAAATACAGGAGGAAGAACAGGGCTCGGGGACTCAGCTCTTAATCATCGCAACGTATACATATGAGCATGACAGGTCGGTAAACAGCACATGTGTATCGGTAAATAGAAAGCCTGGAGGATTATTTTGATGATAGTAATTTTGCAGGACTAGATCGACTACATAGGGAGGAGGAAATTGATTCGAATCTGAAATGCCCATTTTTAGCCTCGTTTAAATCCGACGAACAAGAATTTAAGGTAAAGGGTGGTCTGCTCGAACATCAAACAAGGAAGCAGAGGATCGAGCATACAATTATGATTTGTTACAATCTCAGAGTATTTCTATTAGGCAGGCAGTGAGACACGCTGCGCAACTGCCGAGGGTTGTAAAGTATCTACCGTCTTGAGTTTCTGAGAACGTAAGATGGACAGGCACCTTCTCCATGAACCATCTATTTATTGAATTCAGTTAAAGGTACATTTAGTGGGACGCGTTCACGTATTCCCAGTTAAGGGTACCAAGTACCAAGGTACAAAAGTACCATCCTTTCTACTAGAGGGGTACAAATCAAAATATTAGCTACTAGAGTATATCTAGATACTTGAGGTACTCTTCGTGAATTGCATTTAGTCTAGCGTATCAAGGTACTATTGCCGCCTCCAAGCTAATCTGGTGTTAAGACGAGTCTCCGGGCCTAGACTTGACCGCTCAAGTTAACTGCTCTCTCCAACCCGTGATCCTCACCTTTGACCTTGACCCAAGGAGTTATCAGAGCATTGTCTCAAAAATTTCTGTTTCCAATCCTCAGACATGCAGAAATGAGATAGATTCTACGCCTGCGTGACACAGTACCCGTGCTTCGCCTCGGATACGCGGTTGGTTAAAAGCTGGATCCGCCTATCGTTTGTCCTCGAAGGCTCCCAAGTTGCCGGCGTTTGAATCAATCTAAGGGCTGTCGAGGCATGCAAATCAATGAATGATGGCACCTCAAAACGAACAGAGTTCTCTCAAACGTAGCAGGGTATGTATCTTTTATTGCACCCTCCCTTCTCCTTCGTTCAATGCTAAAAGCGAGTTCTTCTAGGTCAGCACAGATAGCGATTCACAAGATCTAAAGAAGCCTCGACGCTCCGAGAGAATTACATCTAAGAAACAGTCGCAAGCGACCCCGGTCAACCAAACATACCTGCCTACCCCATTGACTGAACTAGATTCGACTGCTACGGATGTTCGGAATGAAGTCACTGCTACTCCACCGGACAGTCCTAGCCAAGCTCTATCGACTGTCGAACAACCCAAGGCGTGTCCATCTCCTCCTGGTGACACTCAAGCTCTTTCACAATTCGTTTATCCACCCAGGGCATTCGCCGATGAAGTCGAGGATGAAGCAGCAGAGGGAGTTTGGGGTTATCTGATTCCTCTTGATGACAAAGTCCGAGATGCGCTTGTGTTGAGAAAGCGCCATAGCTGCGATGCTCGCAAGAATGGCGACTCAAAGACTCAGCCGAGCAAAGGATCCCAGCACTCTCAAGACAAGAGTCTAATCAGCAGACAAAGACCTAATCAGCCTCCTGGGGGTTATCTGGTCGGTCGTCATCCAGAGTGCGGTGGGTGTCTACAGTCGGCTATTGCTCCTTTCCTGAAAATTCTAACGGCATTTAGACCTGGTTATCAATATTCCCACAATATCCAATCGGCATTTCTTAATATTCAGCGAAAACAAGAACGGCGATTCTGTCGCAATTGTGGAAGATCTGTCCAGCAATGGCACCTTTGTTAATGATGCCATTATCGGGCGGAACAAGTATCGCGAGCTTGAAGATGGCGATGAAATCACCATCCTGGATGAAGCGCGATTCGTTTTTCGATACCCCCGGACGAGAGACACGAACGGTTTCCGCCAGCAGTATCGGTTGCTTCAGCAGCTCGGAAAAGGTCATTTTGCAACGGTTTATTTATGTGTAGAACGTGCGACTGGCACTCAATATGCCGTTAAGGTGTTTGAGAGGCGTCCTGGCGATTCTCAGAAGTCTCAGACCGAGTCTTTGCAGCAAGAGATTGGCCTCCTAATGGGGGTCAATCACCCGAATCTTCTGTGCTTGAAGGACACCTTCGACGAAGCTGATGGCGTTTATCTTGTCCTCGAGCTTGCACCTGAGGGCGAGCTCTTTAATCTGATTGTTAGCAGACAAAAATTTTCCGAAGAAGAAACCCGCCATATCTTCGTTCAGCTCTTTGAGGGTCTGAAATACCTGGTAAGCTCCTTGTTCATTAGATTGCAATCTACACTACTAGTCAACCATCCAATTTGTAGATGGGAGGCAAAACCCTGGCGGAAAAGAAGTCTTGAACTGATTCAAACATAGCATGATCGTGGCATCGTTCATCGAGATATTAAACCCGAGAATATACTTGTAGCAGACAAGAAGCTGACTGTGAAACTTGGTGACTTTGGACTTGCCAAGATCATCGGGGAAGATTCATTCACCACAACTCTGTATGTGCTGCCGTCTCTTTCTTCAGATCGCTTTTCTCCTTTGCTTTAGCTGATCCTTTTGTTCTCAGATGCGGGACACCAAGTTGTAAGTTGACTAACGGCCAGTTGGGAATTCGTCAGTTCTGATTTTCTTTAGATGTCGCTCCAGAGATCTTACAGGAGTCTCGTCGTCGAAGATACACCAAGGCCGTGGACATCTGGTCATTGGGAGTCGTTCTATACATATGCCTTTGCGGATTTCCCCCTTTCTCAGATGAGCTTTACACGCGTGAGAACCCCTTCACGTTGGCACAGCAGATCAAGATGGGCCGGTTTGATTATCCATCACCGTATTGGGATTCTGTGGGCGACCCAGCTTTGGACCTGATAGACAGGATGCTTACAGTTGATGTTGAGAAGAGAATCACGGTGGATGAATGTCTGGAACATCCTTGGCTTACCAGAAAACACATGAGCGTTTCCGATAGCACAGATGGGCTGACGGGTGCGCTGGGAAAGCTCGACTTCTCAAAACGCAAAGTCGAGCGCGAGCGGACATTGCTAAGCAGCGTCAATGATGCTCATTTCAGCGAACACAACGAAGGACCTGGTGCTCCTGTGAAGGTCTTCCACAAGAATAATGCTGGCAAGCGCATGCACAACCAGCCAGCCGATACTATCCAGCAAAATGAGGTCTCGCCCGATGAGAATAGCGCTCCCAAAGATTTCGTCAATCTTGGAGAGCGCGGTGACCCGGTGTTGTTTGAGGAAGACCCAACAACTCATTATAAGTGATCGGAGGCCATCTTTATTCATCTAAATCGCAGCATTGTTAACGTTGGGATGTTGCAAATGTATGATCGTCCAGTTCAGCCCGCCTGACGGTCATGAGCCCTTTAAACCTCAAGCACGAGAATATGATATCAAAAGCGTCACACAATGACCAGAATTAATATGCTTAATTAAGTTGTACCAGTCCTGTATCCACCTGTCAGTTGATGCTACCCCAAACAGAAGGAGATTGGACAATGACTGCTGTACAGCATCCTGAGCCCTGCCAACTTTACTGACTGATTAAAGTTAGTAGATTACCTATGACCGCCAGGCAATAGCGTCGCATCCTCGTCTATTCTAGCAAAGCTAAACTAAAGACAAATGTAGAATATGTTGTAGTCACGATTCTCACCTGTCCTCTTTTGTGCCTTTCAGTATGCTTGGATCCTTGGCAATACATGGTACTAAGTAACATCCAATGTCATTATTTTCGACACCCGGCCCCGTTGAAGTGGCGTGATTATTTAAGGAACCTTACCATAGGTTGCTTTGCCAAATCGGATTAGTCTAGCGCAACTAGGGCCAGTTAGTCCAGGGGTTTAACGACTCATGCATAGATAGTGTTTGAATAAGAATAAGAAGGGATCCATGGGCGGTGACTGGATACTTACCCGGAAAAAAACAAGTCAACCAGCAGACGCCTATCCTTTTTCTTCCCATCTTTTATTCATCTTCCCCAATTTCTGTACTCTCTATTCGTTCGTGAATTCGTGCGTTCTTGAGGCCTCCCAAAATTCGTCCATTTCTTTTTAAGGATTAGGAGGGTGCCTCTAGGCGAGACACTCAGCCTTCCTTTATTCGCTGCGACAGTTACTCGATTGATCGATTTGAACACTGTGCTGCAGCGATGGGTCTTATCGCGTTCATTCTCGACGGCATCTGCAAGCATTGCTCGACGCAGTCAACATGGGTGCTTGTGGGAGTCGGACTACTGTCCATCCTCGCTGTATCTGTCATTATCAATGTGCTGCAGCAGCTACTGTTCAAATCTCCTCACGAGCCTCCTGTGGTCTTCCACTGGTTCCCCTTTATTGGTAGCACCATCAGTTATGGCATTGATCCGTACAAGTTCTTTTTCGACTGCCGCGCAAAGGTTCGCATTGTCGCAGCCAAATTATGTGTCTAGCTAACTTTCTTTGCCCGGCAGTATGGCGATATCTTCACATTCATTCTACTTGGCAAAAAGACAACGGTGTATCTTGGTACGAAGGGCAATGACTTCATTCTAAACGGCAAGCTGCGAGATGTTTGCGCTGAGGAGGTGTATTCACCACTCACTACGCCTGTTTTTGGTCGACATGTGGTGTATGACTGCCCTAATGCTAAGCTTATGGAGCAGAAGAAGGTAAGCGACTTTGGCAAAAACACACATGGATTCAGCGACTAATAATCCTAGTTCGTTAAATACGGTCTCACCTCTGATGCGCTCCGATCTTATGTTCCCCTAATTACGGATGAAGTAGAAAGCTTTGTCAGAAATTCTCCGTCCCTCCAGGGACACAAGGGCGTCTTCGATGTATGCAAAACAATCGCTGAAATCACCATTTACACTGCTTCGCGCTCGCTTCAAGGGAAAGAAGTTCGAAGCAAATTCGATTCCACATTCGCAGAGTTGTACCATAACCTTGACATGGGCTTCGCTCCTATCAACTTCATGTTACCCTGGGCCCCCCTGCCACACAACCGCAAAAGGGATGCTGCGCAGCGCAAATTGACCGAAACCTATATGGAAATCATCAGAGCACGCCGTCAGACTGGCAGTAAGAAGGATTCTGAAGACATGGTCTGGAACCTCATGTCCTGCGTTTACAAGAACGGCACACCAGTTCCCGATGAGGAAATCGCTCATATGATGATTGCCTTGTTGATGGCGGGTCAGCATTCTTCCTCTTCTACTGCTTCCTGGATTGTTCTGCGCCTTGCGACGCGGCCTGATATAATGGAAGAGTTATATCAGGAACAAATTCGTGTTCTCGGGTCCGATTTGCCTCCACTCACGTATGACAATTTGCAGAAGCTGGATTTGCACGCGAAGGTCATCAAGGAGACTCTACGCTTGCATGCACCGATTCACTCGATCATTCGAGCCGTGAAGAATCCCATGGTTGTGGATGGTACTTCATATGTGATCCCGACATCTCATAATGTTCTCTCTTCTCCAGGCGTCACTGCCAGGTCTGAGGAGCACTTCCCAAATCCACTCGAATGGGACCCTCACCGTTGGGATGAGAACATTGCAGCTAGCGCTGAGGACGATGAGAAAGTTGATTATGGCTATGGGTTAGTTAACAAGGGCACCAATAGCCCGTACCTCCCGTTTGGCGCTGGACGGCATAGGTGCATTGGCGAGCAATTTGCCTATCTTCAGCTTGGCACAATCACCGCTGTACTTGTGCGGTTATTCAAATTCCGTAATTTGCCAGGTGTTGATGGCGTCCCCGACACAGATTACTCTGTGAGTTATCCTTGTCCAATTCAACGTCGAATCCTTCTTACTAATACTACCAGTCTCTGTTCTCCAAACCGCTGGGCCGATCTTTTGTGGAGTTTGAAAAGCGCGAGTCCGCTACCAAAGCCTGAACGTGATCACTCGATCAATGCCTCTTCTTGATATGACTGCATGGAAGGTAATTTCGTTATCAGTTCTGGGTATTCTGCCATCCTGTTTGGCAGTTCGCGGTTCCAGAACTTGTACAGCATTTAATCTCTGGGATGTTCAACTTTGAAGTTCTATACTGTATTGATTTTATACCTTAGCTTATTATGTGGGATAGATAATGTTTTTATAAGTCACTAAGATCGATGATCCACTTAATCACGCCCGTGGCCCTGCCTTACGCATTGTAAAGCCCCATGGTAGAAAAGAAACTGGCCGTAGGGTACAGCCTTGTGATTGAAGCTGGAATAATACAAGGCATGATGGTGAGAGTAATATACAAATATGTAAACTGCGTCTGAGACACCACAGATTCAACATAAAAGGAAGATAGCTTATGCAGTGCCCTTCCTCCGTTCCTCGCTCCTCTTTTTGGCGCGGACCTCAGCGCGTCTCCTCTCACCACCGTCAACTTTGTGTCCCAGCCTATCCTCCCACATACCTTCCTGGACCTTGATCAGAGCGGCACTGCCGTTTGTTCCCTTGATTGGTTGCAGGAACGGTCCCCTAATCAAAGAGCCACGGTGTATCTTCATATGTGCATATTTCTTGAGGGGTCTGGAGGGCTCATGCTCATAATTGGTAGCATCTGGCGGGAGATTTACGATCATTCGTTTCATACCGGGTGACAAGTTGGCCGAGGAATTCTGAGGGCTCGACTCTCGCTCACCTCCGGTTGTCTGGGTGCCCGGCACAGGCACTGCGACTACTCGCAATTGGGCGGCTCCATCGACGACATGTTCCAAATCACCACCAGGACCGTAAATACCCTGCCGGAACTTCTCTCGTTTGCGAAGTAAATATCGTCGCTGGCGCGCAGGTTCGATGCCGACTTCACGGAGTTCAGTGGAGTTGAGGGTGAAAAGCTTGTCCCATGAAGACAGTTTGCTGGCGTGCTTTTTCATATCACGACCGATCAAGGTAAGAAAGGTCTGGACGTCGGGAACGAATGGCGTCGGGGAAGGAACAGAGGGCGTGGCAGCATTCTTGTGGAAGCAACGAGTGCATTGGATGGAGAGAGTAAATGGTCTGATAAGTCTCGAAGACAAAGTACCCAGATTTGAACTGCACAACTTCATGGTGGGCGATCTCAAGACATTAAATGTCTATACTGGCACAATTGGAGACAATTTATTGTTGAGAACAATTTTGGAAGGGTTCGAAAAGGGACACTGCCCTCAGATAATTCTTTTCCTTTGCTGAGTCTCTTGGCATCTGGAAATTTAGGGATCCCCAACTTGTACCGTGATCGTCGGGATCAATAATAGTCCGAATTCACAACTATGGCGTCTTGGTACTCCATATCGTCTATCAATGTATCCTTTAGAGGATTCCGTCAAACAATTCCTCATAAATACATCTTGGCTTCTCATTTATAGGCTTTGTATTGCGTTCAAAGTCTTGATGTCCTAGGTTCGAAGCCATTTCTCTTCACAATTCGTTTGTGAAGACTACGGGATCAAAACGGAAGAGATTCGAGCGATGGCACTTTCACCTTCAATTTCCCAGTCACCGTCAGCCACTGCGTCATCTTCTAGTGCAGCAATTAAATTGCGAGCTGTTTCTACACAAAAATCAGTCAATGAAGAGGGAGGTGCACCTACATTACGATCAGATATTGACCGTGAACTCACAGAGCTCTTAAATGAAGACATTCAGCACAAGTATGTCAAGGGTACGGTGCCAGTTTCTCGATCCTTTTCCCCATTTTCTTTTTCGGCTTTTCATTGACATATAATACATAGACAAGAAGCTCGGTGAGGGTACTTATGCCGTCGTATATCTTGGGCATCTTCGCAAGGACCCCTCGTCATTTGTGGCGATCAAGAAAATCAAAGTCAATACTGAGTACAAGGACGGTCTTCCTATGGATGCCATTCGCGAAGTGAAATATCTACAAGAGTTGTCGCATCCCAATATAATAGCTCTCCACGATGTATTCTCCTCTAAAGACCAGAATCTCAATCTGGTTTTGGAATATTTACCGCGTGGCGATTTGGAGATGCTCATTAAGGATGAAAATATCCACTACGGTGTTGCAGATGTCAAGGCTTGGATGGGAATGCTTGCTAGAGGTGTTTGGTTCTGCCACGAAAACTTTGTGCTACATCGAGACATCAAACCCAACAACCTTCTTATTGCCAGTGATGGTGAGGTCAAGCTGGCCGATTTCGGCTTGGCTAGATCATTTGCAGATCCTTATTTAAATATGACACATCAGGTCATAACTCGTTGGTATCGCCCGCCCGAACTGCTTTATGGTGCCCGGCAGTACTCTGGGGCCGTTGATGTATGGTCTATGGGG